GGTATCGAACTTCCCTTAAACGCTGAATAAGTTATGTGAAGGGTGCTGCATTCTTACTTCGATCCATGTATATGTTTCCTCTTGCTCTATTTATCTCTGGGTCATTTGGAACAGTTCCTCGCCGAATCGTGCGAGAAATCGACGATCAAACGGCGATTCGACTTCGTTAATCGATTATGCACCGAACGATTACTCAGTGTTTCGTGGTTGGACGCGAATTCGTATGCTCTGTCATTCGGAATTTTTCAGCGACATCCAGAAATATGTGAAATTTAACGAGATGGAATAATCATGTAAGTATGCGAACTCGAAACGACTCTGAAGCAATTCGTGCAACAATTACGTCGGAATACAGAGAAATTCCTGCAGTTGGTGCGATAACGAAAAACAAGCACAATTTGTTTTACAACGCAAAGTAAAGAAGGTCGTTGAATAATCGCTGCTGGCAAAGTGTGTTTTCCCGTAAATTGGGCGACGCTTAAGATCGTCGCTGGTAGAACGGTTTATGGTAATTTTATTGATTTCAAAGCACGACTTATCGCCTGTTATTGGCCGCATCCCGAACCCATTGAACTCGAGCGCAACGCCGCGGGCCAGAAGAATGAAATTCTCGAACGAGAGACGCTGCGAAACGACGTGGAATTTCGTTCGCGGAATTCCAGCGTGTTTCGAGACCCTCCGGGACCATTTTCTACTATTACCGTTCACTAAACGGACCATCGTAATGGCCACTTAATTAGACGTTGACAGCCGTGGATATCCTGACGGATATTTCATTCAAATTTACAGTTTCTCTTCGTCCATACAGTAGTTCGAATCCTACTAGTTGATTTTATTGCAAAATTTATCGCTATCCCGAGCATCCTTCGGAAGCTTTGTTTTCGTGAAAGAAACCGTTTCAACTCATAGAAGCATAGTCGTTCGTCTTAGGATATCGATCAGGCTAGCGGAATGGTATCCAATAGCTCGTATATTGAACGATCAACAACGGTAGCGGAGCTGAACAGAGCTACCGATTCAGAATCCTGGAGCACACAATGACTGGGATGACTTGCCGCGAAACGTCTTTCGATACATTAAATACCGCCTCGTCATCGTTCGTGCAATAATTCAAGGTCGCGATTACAAAGTCAATACATGTTACCATTTATCCACACCTCGAGATCTCGATTTTCTCCCACCTTTATTTTCTCCTCTCCTCGAATCATGATCGATATTTCGCGCGATCGCAAGTTCCTTGCTTTTTTTCTACCACTTCTTATTCGTTCGATGTTTTGCTTCCATCGTTTCAGCTCTGATTTTCATCCGCTGCAACTACGTTTCTATTCATTAACGCCTTCCTTAGATATATTAATAGCCGCTCCGGTTTCAAATAATGAGTGAAACCGTGGTAAATCGTGAAGCGAGTATAGAACGCATATCATACAGTTTGCTATAAACGTTACTATTTATTTAAAATGAAATAAATTTCCTTGCAGAAAACGAGAAGTCCAGATATGAGGCAATCCTCTGTAAAGGGTTAAATTAATCGACTAGAAATATAAGGAGAGCAACAGAGTTGGTTACGAAGTCGGTCTAGCTCGTTTCCTCCTTCCACTCATTTTTCCCCATTTTTTTGCGATTCCTCCTCACTGTGTGCCCTCTCTTCATGGCTGATCGACCGGAGTCTTTAGAGTCGGTCGGTCGGGTCTCCAACGGGCGGCAGCCGCGTTTGATGTCGTGTGACGAATGTCCGTGTTGGACGCGCTCCTCTCTTTCTCTCTTCTTCTTCCCTGTTTCCTCTCTTTACGGACATTTCTCTCTTCTTTCCGCGTCTTTTCTCTCCGTTCGACTCCCTCAGGATTCTTCCCTTTCATTCGAACGTTCTTTTTATTCTCTGCTCTCTATTCCGCATCGTCTAATTCAGCTCCCCTTTCTCTACTTCGTTTCATCTTTGATCTCGTTCTCTAATGTTATCCGTTCTCTCGTTCTTTTTTTTCTTCGTGATTTGATTGATTTAATTGGACGATCGATCGCGGCTTCGATCCCTTCGCTGAAATTCGATGAATTTCTCAGGCGATGGATCGCTAATTTAATCGAGTATACGCTGAATCTTGATCCGTTTCTCCGAGCCGATTCATCGGTAATTCGATTGAAAATTCTTCGTTCGAAATTTTCCTCGCAGAGGGAAGATCTTGACCGTTTCTTCGTTGACCCATAAACAGATTAATTAGCTGCGACCGAATCGGATACAATTACATACGTATACCAATTTTACGAGAGAAGATTTCACGAAACAATCCCGTGTCCGAGGAGCTTCTTGCCAAGGGATTGGTCCACGGTTATCCGCATAACTGCGAACAATTATCTCTCGGTTACGGATTTTTCACTCGCGTTACAGCCACGATAGCGTGCTGTCGACCGTTAAAAAGCAGCTAGACGCTCCTTAAAAGGATTTATCACTGTCGTTACATCGACCGTCAGGGCCGATAGGTTGTTCGAACTGGCCGTTTGCTATAATTACACTCATCCCTGGTTAAGAAAATTTACCAACCTTCTTTTTACCAACGGCTTCACAAAAATCGCTCGAAAACTTTTCGATTTCTATTCGAATCCTATCGGGATCGTTAACGATTACGTTCAGTTTTCCTTCGACTCCTCGTCTCGTTAACTTTCACTGTTCATTAGCCTGCCTTTCAAAGATGACTTTACAAACTGTCGAACCGTGACGATGGATCTGAAACGAGAATCCAGAAGTTGTCGCTCACATTTTCGCCCCTTCATTTTTCCTACCGACTAAAAGACACCTTCTTCTTCTTCTTCTTCTTCCTCTTCTTCTTTCGAAGTTTAAATTTAAACCGCGAAACAAATACGTGCATTTCTTTCGACTAGAAAGGTTGTTGCGGCTTGGAACGGTCCGCTGCTTCGGAAACTTCTTTTCCTTCATTATTTTGCTCCGTTAGCAAGATTTTCGTATCCAGTTCCTCGTTTGTTCGCTGCGCGCTGAACTAATTTCACGCTGGAACACTATGTTAGATTTCTTTTTACTCGGTTGCACAAGTTCAGGTAAATGAGTGCTCAAAATCCTACTTTAACCAGCGACTTAGAGATCCAGAATCCGATTAGAGTTCGTACTTTTAACGCCGATAATTTGGAAATTAATGAAACATTTGTTTTGCGGAAAGAGTTAAAAGTTTTAAGTCGGGAGCCGAATGATAGCGCATCAGGGCACAAGTGCTTCGGTAAAAATCAGTGAATTGTAAGAAAGGAATGCGAAGGAATGCGGGAATTATTCGGGCGGTCTCGCGTCCCAAACGGACGGGTAGAATTTTTCTTTCGAGCGGCGGCTAAGGCGGCGGCGACAGCTTTTAACACGACAAAAACCAGACACGTTCGTTGAATTTTTGACTGAATCTTCGATCCTCTGTCTACGGTACCAATCAATATACTTCGATGCAGTTTTTTTTTCGAGACTTTTCAAAGTTTTCGGACGAGAAACTTGCAGAAGGGTTTGTTATCGGTCAATTCGGTAGATACGGATTTTTACACGGCGAATTTCGGAGGCGCCGAGGTAATCTTGCTTCGTGTTAAGAGGCCAATTAACGCTTCTAATCTCGGAAGGCGAAGTTCTCCGCTAATCCTGAGACGAAATCGGTGGTCTTGCCGTTATCTTGGACCATTGCCTACGTTACTTATCCATTGTCTCGGGTTTTAGGGAAACGGTGGCTAGATCTTAAATCTAAATTGCCCGTGTTTGTCACTGTCCGCTAACAAACGTATCGTTTTCATAATTAAGAAATACCTACCATCTCCGACTCAAAAGTCTATCTTTTAAACCGACACTCTAGCCGATTATTCTATGGCGTATTTTAGTAGACAATAATTTCTGAACAAGTGTTATCGCATCGTTAACAAGTAGAATAAAGAAACATCGAGATGAATCGATTTATTTGCAAAGTTTTCCACGGAATTTGTACGGCAAGTCGGGATTAGGATGTTTGAAATCCGGACGCTAATGCGCTAATCTACCGTTCTAGCCGAGAAAAAGTAAGTCCACAATGAAAAAGCTGAAATTGATCGTAGTCTGTCCGTGGCGAATGTAGCTGACTAAGCCACTAGTTATGCCCGGTTCTACACGGTTTGCCTAGCACTACCTATTTATCCAACTTGTCGAACACGCCCTGCTTCCTACCTCTCTTTCTCCATCGCTTCTTTCCAATTACACGTTAAGGTAGATTTACCTTAATCTTTAAAAATCTGACTAAGATCGATGGTGTAACGATTAGTTTCAACAGCGATAACTGATTCCGGATAATAAAATGTACGATAAATTCGCGATAATTTGTTAACCGGTCGGTATCGCCGTGCGTTTTATCGGAACGCGTTCGATCGCCTCGCGTTGAAACCCTACGCGTCGTATCGTCGATCGCCGCGCGATATAACGCGAATCAATCAAGTCCTCTACGAAGGGAGCTCCATTTATATTGTCAATTCCGAGAATTCCCCGCTCCTACAGCTCCATCCGTGGCGATATAGCGAGAGTGTGGCGCATTTTATTGCTCGAAATCCATCATACGAAGTTCAGGAAGATTCGACGAGGCTCGAGTAGATGGGACAAATAACAATGGCCGTAAATTGAATGAAGGAAGCAGTTGGTCGCATTTCGGCTTCCTCTCTGGTCTTCTTGCCAGCGAAACGCGGCCTTCCTGAACCTCTTGAACAATCCTGAGGGCTCTTGTTCGAATGCTTTCGCGCAAGGAATGCGATGCCGCGAATAACACGACGAAATGGACTATGGTGTGTCTTATTAACGAGAGCACCGTACCCGTTAACCGAACCAATTGCCGTTAATTGCGATCGAATTTCATGGATAAAGGAAACCGATCCGGGCAAAACATGTGACAAGGCTGCGATGCTTGCTCGTTCGGCTTCTTTCCGCGTATCGAAGTTAACGAGCCACGCGCAAGATTTTCATACACGTACTAGCGCTCGATCGATCGATTCACAACGTGACGACTTACCTTCAATGTGAGGAGAGCACCGGGGAATATACCAAGGGCGGCAAGACTTTGACTGTGATCGGTAAGTTCGTGTTCGCCCAGCATCAGATGCTGATCGTACGGTCCAGCGCCGCAAATCTGCATCATCTGAATGAAAAAATAGAAAATACAATGGGTCATAATTCTTGACAGGGTTACGATGCATTTATCTTGCTTGGGATTTTCGAATCGTAACGTTTGCGCATTAAAATATCCAATTTATCGAGGGAGTTACGAATTCCCGGAAGGCAGAAAATTCCAAGCACCGTATTCTCCCTTCTCCAGGCATTGAACTCGAAGACGTACCGCGAACAAGGATAAGAAACCGAAGGAAAGGACCTCGTCTCGAACTCGGGAATCGCGGAGCATGCGTACACTCTCGGTAATTGCTTAATTTGTGGAAGCCGCCGTCGAGAACGGTTCCTCGTGCACGGGACCAGCTTTCTTCCCCGTTCCCGGTGTAAATGTGCACCTCCCGTTTCTGTTTTACGAGCGAGTAACCGGCAACGAAGAAGAAGGAAGATGCGCACACACGGAACACTCCGTTTAACCTAACCCAGACTCTGCCACTCGCCAGCGTAGATTCGGGTACTCCTTCGGCTAAAAACTAGCGCTCTCGTCATTTTCCCTGAACAAGCATGGTGTATTCAACTTTTCAGAAGCTCCAACTTTCTTCGCGACGAACAAAAGAAACGTTCGAAGAGAAAAAAAGGAACAGAACCTGGTGACACCACTTGGAATGTGATAGAAAGTAATATTTACAAGCGTCAATCGGCGTTACGATGATTACGTAAAACCGACGCTCACGGGCTATTGTCCCGATTTGCTTGCTTGCTCGCGACTTGTCCGCATTCGACCATGAAATTCGCAATATTTTTGCAACCCGACAAAAAGTGACGAACTGTGATTTTTATGAAACTTTGCTACACGAACAGCGGTACCCTTCAATCGAAACACTTTCGAACCTTCTAATCTCTGTCTGTTTAAACTTCTCGGTTAAAGGAACAACGATCCATCGATCCTTCGTTATTGGAAAAACGTCGGAGAACCGTTCTCGAACTGGCACGAGATGCGCCGGTTTAAATTTAAGAGTTTTACTACTGTCGGCTGCCTATTATTGCGGTGAAGCTACGGCAATTTCGTGTTCTGTCCTTTTTTTGCGTCGCTTCTTCCGGGTTGCGAACAACGACGAACAAAAATTCATCGTTCGTATTATACAATCGGATATGTACAAATTCTAATTCTCCGTACTGTCCCGAAATTCTGTAAACGTCGAATTTAGCACGGAATCCTAGCGTAAAAGCGAACGAAATCAAAGTCCTATGATTACAGTTCACACTCTCCCAGCAAAACCAATACGATAATACCTTCAATTTTCCTGCGAACCATAGCACGACTAAATTACACGAAAACTTTCGACAAAAAGAAGGAGAAAAAAAAGGTAAAAAATAAAAGGAGAGAAGAGCAAACGTTATGAAAGGGCCAGAAGAGTAGAGCGAAGTGGAAGTGGAGAAGTCGGAGGCCTGTTATTAGCGCGAGGTTTATGCTCTTTCGAGTTTTTGCCGGTGGCCCCGAAGAGAAAACGAGAAGGCAGAAAAGAGATGGCCACAACCTCTCGCAATATAAATACGTTTAATAGTTTAAGCACACCGGCAAGCCTGGGTCATATGCTAACCAGCCATAACTACGGCTTTACTACTTTCGTCCATCGAGAACGAAGCTAAACCCTCGTGTCCGATTTTAGATGACCAACCTTTTCTCCACGCTACCAACGACCCAGCCACCGTCGTAAAACGGTCCTGCGTAATTTCTTTCAATTATCCTGTGATCACTGTCATTGTCAGCAACTACGATCGATCCAGAAACGCGTTAAAAACAAGAGCGAAGAGTTTCTTTGACGCTTCGCGGTCTTACATAGTTCACGATCATTTTCATTCCAAGGATCGTTTACGGTGAAAGTCTACAGTGGACACTCACCCTAAGTTTTAGATCCTTCAGCGTGATCTCGGAAGAAACTTTCAGTTCATGGGATCCCTTCAGGTTCCTCCTGGTTCTCGATGGCCTCGCATTTTCAATTTTCGGTCTCTTCGCAGCTACCTGTATTAGCATAACGATCTAGCTTTAAAAGTTACTCAAATTTGTGACAAGAGTTTCAGACTCTGTTACAACGATAAAAGCAGGTGGCATAGGGAACAGCCCGTGAAAACGTAATGACGATTATTATAGGGAAACGAACGGAATGGGACCAATCTCCTTATCGACCGACATCAATCTAAACCGGAGGACCGGTTTCTGAACACCCGATGACTCAACATGTTGGTCCATTAATGAAAATCACCGTCGTTCGGTCTAAACATTGGGTAATTCATTGATTCTCACCTCGGGTTCGTTCTCAGTCTTCGAGTCTTCTGTTTCCTCCACACATTTTATGTAAATCGTCGCTCTGTCGTACTTTAAGCTCTCCAGACGTTCCTGTTCCACCCTCGCGAGCATACATGCTGCGCAGAGATCTGAAAAAAATTGAAAGAGTTTTATAACTTCTTTTTAAAGTGTAAGGAAATTTTCAAGTTCGTCGCTTAATGAATCGCGAAAGCAAGCACTCGAGAGGTTCTAAGCAGAAAAGGGTTAAACACCGTGCTGGGCAATTTGAAGATTCCTTTAACACCCTTCCGAAAAGCAACCCTTAATATTCGTACGGGTGAGATTACATCGACAGCGCTTCGGGCGTCGAAGCTGGAAAGTCAGAGCGAAACGTTAAGGGTAAGAGTGTGGCAAGAGGGTGCAGGGTGGGCATTTTGACGACGACGCCGTGCTCTCGTTGCTGGCTCTTATCCCGTGTATAATAGATTGCTTACGGCCGGCGAGATTAATACAGTAATTAATAATATACGGTGACCAGAGGCGGCGTAAGAAGCGGCCATTGTTGCTGGCCGGACAGCGCAAAAACCAGGCCCGGAGAACAGCTCCTATCCGAGCGGCTTTCAGGAGCGTTACGTCATGTTCAGACAGTTTTCCGCTAAAGGGAGCCGCTAACCCCGTAGGAACGCTGTGACCCCGAATGAATTCGAATGTCCACCACCGGTATCCCCTTCCATCCTGATCTGACGGCCCTAATTACCGAAACTACAACCTAGTATCGCCTTGTTCCACAGGAACATCGCGCAAGAACACCGTTTTGCCTGCAGCTGATTTACTTGCTCTCTAACCTGGCTACGAACTCATCAATTTCAACTTCTGCGAGAACGGTGACGGATTTTGATGCTTACGAACGATTAAATCTATGTCCGAGATTAAACGACGATAATAATTGGAGAAATTTGTAAAATAGATAACCATTCGCAGGAACGAGGAGGGGATAGTTACACGGAATGAATTCAAATGTCCACCCTTGGAACAGCAATTACAAAACGGTGCATGAGGGCATACGATAGGATCGTTCGCTATCGAGTTTAATCGGAAATACGAGGAACGTGGGTTAATCAGGGACGCGTAGGGTTGACTGAGAATCGTCGCAACCACCCTTGCACCCCTCTTCAAAGTCTTTTAACCCTCTCGTTGCGCCGGTGTAAATCACCCTTTTCGTATCAATCGATTCCTTTAGTCGGGACTTGTCTGTCTCCGTAATCCCTTGCATTACGTAATATCCAGTCACTCTCCTGTCACGCGGAAATTTCAGTTTCGAAGATTTACGAAACGTAAAACAAAAGGAAGCGACGGTTAAATAGAATATCGTTCGCGAAGCGAAGAAACTGCGAGCGGAGAAGATTCGAGCAGCGTCTCTCGCAAACAGCAAAGTGGGTTTTATTGGCTAATAATACACAATAGGCTCTACCAGTTGAGCCAATAGAGCCGAACAGTGGTTCGGATTTTCTCGCGTATTTCCCTAAAGTGCCATCCGAGGGCAGTCAAACCATAAACGGTCGTCGAAAGGGGACAAAAACTTGGACAAGATCGACTGGAGAAGTTTCCTTGCCTCGGTGAGCTCCGGTTCCTTTGGATTTTATCGCGTGCATGGAAACGGCCCGTATCGAAATCCCCGATGGGACAACGAATCGAACTTTTCTTAGACTTCCAGACACGATTTTCCCCGTGTAATTTCCTCCGTCTCCGCGCGAAATCTACTCGCGAATAACTGCTCTCTTCTTTTGAAAAAAGAATCACGCGTATGGTGGCTGTTAGACTAAAGTTAGGCGTTCGATCAACATCGAAACGACGTTAAAAGAAGGACAGACTCCGCGATACGATATTAAAAGATCTGGACGACTTTCATTCATAACTTCGAATTCATCCCGTGAATGAAAGATTGATGTGTCTCGACCCCTCGATCGCGAACAGTCACCCTCGAATATGCCTCGAATTCTTTCGCGTTTAAGGTTGTGGCCAGAATACGGAGCAAATTAAATACTTTTAACGCAAAGAATAACTGAGATTAAGTACCAAAATCACGAACGTACAGATCATCAAAGTGTTAATAGCCTAGGAATTTTAGTGTAAAGCAACGAGGTAAAAAGCTGATGCATCGAGAGGCAGAAAGGAACGGTGTTTCGAGCGACAACGGGAACAGAGAAGGAAATTAGCGAATTCAAGGAACGCGGTTTCGCGTTTTAGACGGCTCTAACGATGCCCGCCGAAGAAGGAGAAGATCGTCACCGTAACGATTTCGCTAACGAACGTCTTCGAGCGCCACAACAAAGTCGAAATATAATCCTCTTACAGTAGAGGAGTTGGAAGCTGGCTGCGAGCGTAATCGGGGCTTATAAGCGGGCATTACACGCGGCTTTCCGGATCCGCAAGCGGGACCGCGCGTTTCAAGGAAATCGAAAGGTAACCTCCCTCTAATGGATTCTCGATCGACCAGTTAATTAAACGACGCTCGCAGTTTCTAGTTTCTTCGACTCGTCGTTTCTTAAATACCTTCGGCCCGAAGAGGATCGGTTGTTAAAAATCGATTAAAAATAACATCGTAAAAACAAAGATAGGCGTATCACGATTTCACTAGGTTCTCCCAGGAGAGAAGACAAAACCTGGACAACGATTCGAATCCAGCGATCTGAACGATTAGGCTTATGGATTAACGAAGGCTCTGTGCTGTCAGTGTCGTAGGACACCCCCGTGGCTGACACCGTTGTCAGAAGTAGAGGGAGAAAGGCTCTAAGTGAGCTTTATCCTCGTTTTATCTTGTTTTCCAACCACCCCTCGATTCTCGTCTACCAAACGAGGAGAGCAGAGGACGAGCATCGGTCATCTAGGCGCTCCATTTAATCCTGTTGGAAAAGAACCCCCCGCTGCGTGGAGACAAGTGGGGGATATCCTGCAGGATAAGAGGAGGACCAAGATGAAGGTTGAGCCAGAAACCCGACGGGATGTCGCTAATTCGACCCTACGAAACTTGACCTGCTCACGACTTTTCTAGTCCACTTCCACTTTAATTTACGACATTATTTTCTGCGCTACGCCAACTGATGAATCCTTTTAATCGTCCGTGGTTAATACTATCATCTATCTGCGGATGCGTTACGCTGTAATATTCCAGAGAATAGGGGTACAGAAACTCGGATATCGATTTAACAATTTGACAGGTGATCAGATCGTAGAAAAAGTGGCTAGATCTCGAAAGTTTTTGAAACGGAAGCGACAAATCTCCTCGTATAACCCGTTCTCCGCGATCGAAGATAAAGTCGAGCAAAGGGAAATCCATTTTCCGAAACGTCTACCGATTCGAGGGAACAAGTCGTAAAGTCGTGTTCATTGGTCGGCGAATGCATATATTAAGACGTGTCCGGCGCACTTGTCGCAGTGGAGGGGAAGGTTAACAAATGTCCCTCGTGAAGCGTTTGACCCCTGGTAAGTTGAACCAACCCCCTTCCCCTCTGGTTGACTAAATCTCGAGTCTGGAAAGGCGGACAACCCCTCGAGGCTCAGCATTTATGGAAGGACCGGTGCAGCAGAGTCGACCGCATAGCCACCGTAGGAAACTAATCAGCAAATTCGTGTTCTAAATCTAAATCGCCGTCCGAATATTAATTCGAGACCTCTCCGTCTCTGTTCCAAAAGGACGATCCCTTTTCTATGCTGCGAGCAAACCGGTACGACCCCATCCTTTCCAATCTCTATCGTTTCTCTAGGTTTTGCGATACACACATAAGCAACGGTGCTGGAACTATGAACAACCAGTGTGATTTGTGATACCAGTTGACACCTAAGGGATATTTACGACCGTCTTTCAGGGAATCGAAACAGAACACGATAGTGGAATGGCGTTTGCTATGGGAGCGCTTTTAATTGCATTGAAAGTTAATGATTCGCTAAGAAACACAACTGGACGTACGCTGAACTTTGCAAGATCGATATTACGTGGAATTCGAATCGTCGCAATTTCACCATTTTTCCACTTCCTTCTAATTTAGAGTTAAAAAGTATATGCAAACAAAAAAATAGATTTTTTGTGCTAGAACATAGGAATACGTTTTCCCATGTTATCAGAGTAATTCCCTGGCTAATTTCTCAGTCAAAGATCATCCCTCGCGTGTCGTTCGAAAGAGGATTCTCATTCGAGACGAGGAAGCCAGAACAAACAGACAATTTAGCTCGTTTTAAGGACACCCACTGTCCAAGCACCGTGTGCTCGAACAAAAGCGAAGCAAGGGACCTCTAGGTTGGTTAGCAAAAAATCGGGGGTTGCTTTCGGTGACTGATACGGCCCTGACTAACGAGCCTCCGGCCGGACGATCGTTCCACTCTTAAAGCCTCGAAGGGTGCTCCTTTCTCCTTCTCGCAACCAAGTCCTTTCCCTAGTTTCTTTCTTCGTCGTTCGCGAAGGCACATTAGCCACCGTCCAACCTCGTATCAATCACTCGACACAACCCTGGGTCGTGGCTGGCTCGTTCGTCGGCCTTGGTTGACAGAACCGGAGGTGACGCGATTGAATACCACCCTCCGGGCATATAGCCGGCCCACCGGCACGATGACGACGCTGCTCCTGGAAAACCGGGGAAGGAAACGTTTCTCGTGCGACTGCACCCGGTTAATGGCCGACAGCCAGAAGACGATCGGTGGCTAACGAGCCAGCAGTTTCGTACGCTTTGCTCGACCACATAGACACTTGGACCTTGCAATCGATAATCTCGTATCGATCGACTTTTTTTTCGCGAGATCGTTGCCGAACCGTGTGGCGCTTTGAGTTCATCGACAGATTCTGGAGAGGCGAAATAAAAATCCAACGTTACCAAGATTTTCGTTGAAACTCGTACCGAATCGAAGAAGCACGATCAATCGAACATGTAGATCGAATGGCACGAGTTTTAAGCCTAAACGACATCTCCATCTGGGCGATCCACGATCCGGCCAGTGGATGTCCCGAGACGGAGACGCCGGCTATTCGATCCGAGCTTTGCAATTCAAATGACCTGGACAACGATCCTCGACGAGGCAGAACCTTGACAAATGTCGTGAAGAAAAAAAAAGCCGCGCCATCCGCGATCGAGAGACGGACAAGACAATGGGATGTTTAGAGGACTCGGGATCTCTCGAACGCGAGACACGCCGGTACATTGAGCGCAACGAAGGAGAACCTGGTGGAACATCGGTCCGCAAGATCCCCCTGGTGCTACCTTCAGGACCCAATTTGCCTGCCAACACGACGACAAGGATCAGTCGTTCGACAAAGTGGTCTTGCGCGTGGCCGATTCACCGGCTACGTAAATCTGATCGGACTTTTCGGGATTTCAATTGATGCCACAAACGCGAGATGGACCAATCGATAAGACGATGTTCCTTCGCATTAATACACCGGCACGAAACTTTCTACTCTTCTTTTATGCACAAATCGACACCGTAATATAGAATTAATTCGTCTACTGCTCGAATACAAATTACCTGCTTCTCTCGAAAAGACTTCTCGCGATTCGTAACGTGGAGCGATCGAGGAGGATCAAGGGTGAGAAACTTTTAGAACCCTATTTGGACCGGTACCACCTACTCGTCTCCCCACGGTTCGCTTTTTCTGTCGGTTAATTTTCAGGATACTTCTTAATTATAATGAGACACTTTGGGCTCTGCCAGAGAAGCGAACCGAGGAGCAGCAACGGAACAAACAAGGGTGGAGTATTTATGTAAATCGACGGCTAATGTCTTCTGGCATTATTCCTCGGGTTAGATTCAGACAGGGGGAGACTGGGAAAGTGCACGGAAACGATGTACACTTTTCAAGCACACTCTCGCGAGAGAATTATATCCTGAAATTCGTCCTTAAATAACAATTCAAGATAAATAGCAAAGTATCCAGGAAACGTGTTCTTTACGGACAAAACCAAAGAAAGGCATTTAGCTCAACATCTTTATTATACCGTCACGAACTAACACGGAATCGGGCGAATTAATCGAATGGCGCGAGTAAAAATCCGGTTAAATCGAACAGAGTCGAAACGTAGTACAGGTTCCTATCTCGATTGAGTCACAAATAAATCTTGATCGTATTGAGAGATCCAGTTGAAACGGAGAAAAAGGAAAAATCTCAGCCAACCGTGAGATTGTGTACGCCGATAATTAGATCGAGCACGTAGGTACACAGGAGGAAAAAGAAAGAGATAGACACACGAGGGGAAGCCGATGGTAACGATCCGCCTAGGGACGATCGTTTACATAATGACCCCCCTGGAATCGTACGAAAATTAATTGCCGATAAGATCGAACGGTCCCAGGATGGAATAAAGAGAAAGCCGTTAATTGCGCGATCCGTCTTCGGTTTGCAGTCTACCAGGAAATTGATACGCCTATCATGCCACATGTGCAACGATAACCGTCGCGTTATAATCGTTTCAATTTAACGTCCACGATTCGTTATATCTTCGCTTTTTCTTCGCGATTTACGAATCATGAAAATCCCTTTCGTCGTAACAGCACCGATACGTTTAATTAGTCGACGAGTTGAAATAAGATACTTGCGATTGAAAGGGGTGAGAGCGTGAACTGTACTCACTTGGATGTAGTTGAAAATCGGAATCGACCCTCCTGATGCTGATCGTGTGATCGACGTCGTAAAATTGCGTCAATCTCGACCATTCCTCGGCTGTCACTATGGTGTATCTGTAACGAAAAGAAATATTATTTTTATAATTTTACCAGTGATTTTCTTCGGGCATTAAACTTGAAATTTTCATCGATACGTTTCGACGGCAAATATCAAAAAAGAAACAGCGTGTCCATCCACCGGAGAATATCCGACTCTGTTTGTTGTTTGTTTTCGAACGATCCCATTATTTCGCGTTCGACATATTTCCGATGGTCTTGGATCAATTATATTTACTTAACAATCGTCCAGTGATAATGAAACGCACACAGAGGCTTTGGAATAGGATCGAGCAATGGGCGTGTTCGCAAGGTGGAATTCGCGATTTTCCGACAACGGTGTAGAATCCGTGATGGTTTTTGTCCCGTCTCCCTTAATTATACCGCAAATTAGAAATTTCTTGCCGCGCACCGGCTCCAGCTTTTTGCCCTGCAATTGTTCGCCCGATCCTGGCATGGTTCCTGAAGCTCGTGCACCACGCCGGAATCTCGCATCGCTATGATCGATAACGCTTTGAAAAATCTCCGTTGAATACACACGGGAATCGTGAAATTTCTCACTTAATTATCTTCCAAGTAGAACTGTGCTCCTACGCGAAAGAAAAGTACCGTCCTCTTCGTCGAAGCGTATCCGACGATTCGACAGGAAATATTTATTTTATTTTCTTTACTTTAATAATCTACAAAAAGGGACGTGGTCTACTAAGATTTCTTCGTCAGCTGTATTTACCGATACCCTTTCAAACTCGATAGTCACGAAATAAATATCTTGAAAGTAGTAGACCGGCGGTCGTTAAATGAATCAATTGGAAATTATCGCGTGGAGGATAATAAAAATTAGCGGAGGATACGGAGCCGCCGATGTGGGCAGAAAATTTATGGAGGCGCGTTTCGAAGCACGAGCCAAGCCCGGTCCAGCCCCGTTGATACGGATACGATGATGACTCGACCGATAATTAGTTGCGCGACATTAATTTCGATTCAGCGCAATATGCCGCGCGGTCTCATTTGAATTTTCACGAGGCAAAAACCAAGCGGACGAGCTTGTCGTCTCTCCTCGTGTATTTGCCTAACGCCCGAATAATGGTGGATGCATCGAGAAGAGCCGGAGAAAAAGGGATGGAATTAGAGAAATTCTGGTGACGAGAAAAAAGCTTCGAACGAGACACGACATTCCGGTCTACAGCTATTGAACCTAATCGCTATTTACAGTCCCTCTATTTCGAGGTCATTAATAATATTCGATATTCGCTACATTCAATTTACGATCGCAATTGTTTCTTTCCACCCTGGAAAGATTCGTTCGAAAGCTAAGGATTGCAAAATACGGACTTATTCACTGGAAAACAATAATCAAAGGCTCCGAATCACTGCGAGGAAATGAAAAATTGAAGATCGACGGTAAAAATGACTTTTTAACGGTCTCGACATGGTCGAGGGTGAAGCAGACGAACGACTTAAACCATGGACTATCTTAGGCAGATAGTGGACAATGGTTTAGCATAATGGTCAGAGAGGGTGGATTGCCACGGTGGCCCCGAGGGCGTGCTGGTGACATTTTCGTGTATCCATCACGTCACGCAAGCTCCGAGGACGGGAAAAGGAAGAAAGCATTGCCAGAAGAACACGCGTTTTCTCTTTGTAATACGCTTTCAAAAAAATGATACGTCTCAGGAAGCTAAGAAGGAAACAGATTACACCGAGTGTCCATTTCGTATGAAACAAAGAGGATAATACAAATTACTTACAGGTCACTGGTGATAGTAGGCGAATACAAGAATCCTTTGTGTGGTTCGCAGAGAAGGACGCTATTCCGGATACCTGCCGGTGGTGTTTTCGAAAATACTTCGGCGTACCTGAAACAAAACGATGGAAACTATTTACTAAGAAATCAAGATATTATTTAATATACAGAAAGATGTCAACATCTTCCAGAATATTCAATACGTCGATACAGATTAAAAATGATTTTTTATGATACACTGTCAGCCAGTTAATCGTTTCGAATAATGCAACCTCGCCCGTGACACGTCTTTCGGGTCGTGGACCAGAAAGACGACGAGGAGAACGCTTCCTTCGGGACATTCCGGGGTGTGGGGATGGAGATGTGTCGAGGGATTGGGGTTGTGCATCATTTTTCAAATACCACGAGGGGGCGGACGGTTTTTGCCGTCTCCCTACCCGTCCACCATTCAGATAATGCTCTTAAAGACAGATATCTCTCGCGAAACGCCAGGTACGCGATCGCACAGAAACTTGAACGGAAAATCTGTTTGAATTTTCCAAGTGGTACCTTCGCGAACAAATAATTTTTCATGCCAACATCGCTTCGGCTGTAGCTTAAAACTTCGTATCTTATATAATAAAGAAAATAGCGATACTTAAGCATTTCTTCTAAGGAACCGATTCTCAAGATCTAGATGCGATTTAAAACTCTTAAAAATCGTGTGACAAATAAAACAGAGAAAGATAGATACGGTAAAAAATATAAGTACGAAGCAGAAAGCGTTCGCAAACCGCGAGGACATCGAGGAAGAGCAAATATCAGCGACGGAGGTTTTAAAAAATGTCTCCCAACCGGATACCCTCGAGCAGGTTTTCCAGAAGCGAATATGCGTATTAATTATGAGCCTTGTTCAAACAGTCGAACAGAGTTAGGTGGAAAGGGACGGGAGGAGAAAATTGGTCACCCTTATTACAGTCGAACCAGAGAGGACATTCTGTTTCTCCTTGTCGTACGTTCTCTCTTTCTGTGTCCTCTCTCTTCCTTCTTTTTTTTTTTATTTCTCATTCGAGGCTTTTGTTTAACTTCTGTCGCGGAATTTTTCCGGCCCGCGGCGGATTATTGCTCCCAGGAGATAGGAGGAGGAAAACAGGAGCCGAGGACCGCTATGCAAGGGGGTAGTTGCGAGACAGGAAAGGGTCACTCGTAACGTCCGAGGAAATCGTTTGGAAATACCTCGATAATTCGCTTCGGAACCACGATTACCTTCCCCAACGATTATATCCTCCGTTTGTGTATTTTAGCCAATTCTATCTTTCCGTACGCCCCTATACTCCAAATTTTTATCAGCACACTTGCTGACGTTTTAAATAAAATAAAATCAACTCAACAGATCGGTGAACGCCGAGCTATAGAGCGATCGAGATTTATTTATAGAAATCGTCGCCGTAAAAGAAAAGCATTCGTCGTTAAAGGAAAAGCGATTTACCGTGTCGCGATGGGCGAGGGTAAATACGATCGGGTGAACGATATTGAAATCGTTCTGTGTCGTTGCACAATGTCCAAAGAACATCCTCGGAGATGTTTTCTTCTAGAAGACACGCAACTATGAGGTATCCGCTTGTTGATTAAAGTCTTCCAGCGTTGTCTCCGAGATCGTTCGTGCATAGAACAGGATATTACGCACCGGTACTGAGTAATGATATCTCGACCACAGTGATCATACAAACCGCAATCATTACAAGGATATCCGAGACGTATCGACGTTTCGTCTGGTATGCGAATCTTCCAATGTTTCATTTGCTTTTTCCAATATCTACTTAGCCGAACCAGTCAAAATATAAAAAGAGCTACATACTTTTACGATTTTGCAGAAAAGTTTACAACGGTGCAAACCTCGGCTGTAATGTAACAAAATCGAAAACGAATACAGTTGTACTTAGGAGTTAGCGAGGCAATTTTTTCATTAACGAAAGTGACACGTTTCGAAGAAGAATCGCCTCCATCCCTGACATAGGTTTGAACGTGGGTTCGATATTAGCTGGAGCAAACCGCTTTCGACGAGGACGATTATTCGACCAAAACAGGGGTGAATCGTTTCACTCGCGAACACACCGATAACCTTCTTCTCCCTATCTTTTCTTTCACTTTTGTTCGACAATCGTCCACGTGCCAAAAGCGCTTTTTCCCCTTCTATCTCTCGTTATTTTCCACGATAACTTTAAACATAGTATCAACGATCAGAAACAGTAAATTAGGAAAACATTTCGTACTAGGAGAAAAAAGAGCTTTTGATTCAACGCTTAATCGAAAAGAAAGCTCGAGAAATAAAATCGGTCCACTATCGTAAAACGTCAGAGACCGATTGCAAGAAATTGATTCTAATTTCAGAAGAATCTTGTTCGCTGGTGCTACGTCAAACTTTCTCAGCTCGCCAGGCGCTTCTTCGACGATCCTCTCGCGGATCCTCATCGTCCTCGGCTTCTTTTTCCTTTTCCGTTTCGAACTGATCCCTTCCCCTTCGTTCGCGAGTCCTTCCTCTCCTTTCTATCTTGTCCCGTTCCCTGTCCATTGATTGGGCGCTCGTATACACCGATTTCTTGTCGGTTCTCCTTTTCAGCAGAAATAAATCTTGTGTTTTCGCGTATAAGCGGCCTTTTAATATCACCGGGCTTGATTTACCGCCGCGAGACCGACCGTGCGTCGTCTACGCGTAAGAGAGGCCAAGCCGAGCCAACCTCCTCCTCTCACGACCGTGCCTTCCCATTTGACATTTGTCTTCCGGCCGAGGAAGAAGGGAACACACGACTGTCCCCAGGTTTTCCCTGATTTACCGCTCTTCTCGACGGTATTTGACTAAACGCTCCCGGTCGCGCTGCACCCGTGCCTCAAGATCGATTCCGATAGTGAACTGAAAATTATGGCTACGTAATTGTTCGACAAAATCGCGTCTAATAGACGAACAAGACTACGCGTCTCTAACCAACCATAAACAAACTTCCCCGCAAACGCGAAACACTCTTTTCCATGGATCTCTTTAAAAACAAAGAAAAAGAAAAAAAGGAAAAAGAAGGAGGTTCATCGAAACCACTGGCTCCCGCTGTAATAACACGATAATAATTTATAACATAACAATCGAGCCACCGTGGTGTGGCCAGCAGGAAAGATGCTTGTACGTGGTGCAAGATGCATCCTCTCGCCGGTTATACAGCTCGTCCAGGAGCTCGGGTGCATCGAAGCGTTGCGATCATTACGAAGAGGGGGCCACGAAGATGTACGTGTTCGTGGTAAAAGGTCCAGCGGTGTCCAGAACCGGTGAAAAAGGAACGCCAAAAGTCCACGCGGACAGAGACGGGAGAAGGAAAGACGAAGAAGAAGAAAAAACACAATGTTGCGCTCGGTATCCGCGGGACATTGAGGAAATAAGAAGAGAAAAGAAGACAACGGGGGCACACGAGATGATGATGCGTATAGCTCGTCTTCTGGTTCGCGGATGGACGAAGCAGTTCCATCAACGAGAGCGAATTTAAAGCGATCACAGTTCTCGGGTCCCTTCGTAAATGGAGGTGTAAGGATAAACTGTAAATCATCCGGCTCGTTATCCGAGCCGACGCGATCACGCTTTGCTTTCTATTATTTTCTTCGACCGCCTTTAACGTGCCGTGGATTCCACGCCGATGCTCTGCATCTCTTTTGCAGCTTGGCTAAAATTAACTTTTCATCCGCGAATACGACTCTTCACATTTTCGAAATTTTTATAGAAACTAAAGATGTTAAAAAGAAAGCGAATCGAGATCAAGTTCGAGCCTCGAAACGTTAATTCGATCAATTTCATCGCGCGTTTCGCGTTCGATCGTGCACGTACACTCGGGTCCTTCGAACCAGGTCTGCTTTTCAGCTTCGTTGATTTCACTGAATCTCGTCAAGGTAAAACCGTTTAACGAAGGTCGTAAGCGTTGCCTCGAAATCGCCTCTATCTCGAGGTCTCGGCGAAAGGTTGCGTTGTTCGCTCTATTTGAATGCTTTTTGCGGCTAACTCGTGATTAATTGATCACGATCGAACGTGACTCGATCGAATGAACGATTTCCTGGCCAGTCCAATTCGCGTCGACCTCGAGAACGGGGTCGAAAATCTCGCTGGACGAATGGAATTCGTGGTTCTTCCGACTGGAACAGAAAGAAGATTCTCTCGCCAATAACTCCAGGAATGTGGGTTGACTGCAACTCGGCCGATTATTGCTTACTTGTACCGTTAACGAAGACTCGTTACACGCGAACTTTGTAAATACCTGTTGGCAGGAAGAAAGACGAAGATCGCTTTTTTTTCCGCCAGCGAACGCGCCACGAACTTCCTTGGAATGCCTGTACACCGAATAATTGCGCCATAGTTAATGTAACTCGAAGCCGTAATTAAATTTTCCAACGAATTCCTATTGTCTTTATTCGATCATCGACGATTCCGAACGACGGAAAGGACTCTCCAGGATTCTCGAGGAATTTATTATTCCGTTAATCGATTCGATTCCGTTCGCGTTAAAAAGAGAATATAAATCCCGTTCGAAACCGGATAGCGCGAAGGCTGATTGAAAAGTGTCGAAACATCGACGAAATTATGTCGTTCAATCGGTGGAAAGATGATTGGCAGGTACAGTACCTATGAGGACTAAACAACGGGCACCTTATCTCGGATCGATCGTAACGAAGAATGGAAAAACGTAAACCGCACCGGGGAAACGTGCTTCATTTCGTAATTTCCTGAAGAGCAACAAGCACAGCCAAGCATAGGTAGATGGAAAGACGAAGACAAGGCTGAATCGTTGTCAGCGAACGGAAGCCGGTGGGATACGCGCTAGAATAACGAAAGCTAATTATGCGTTCGAGTCGAAAAAGATGGAGGATAAAAGGAAGAGAGTGGGGAGCGAATCGAGGCAAAAACCGTCGATAATCGACATCCTGCCGCAGTCCGTCGGTCAACTACGCTACTTGGCCGGCGTAAATTTAGTCCCCGGCCCTCTTTTCCCTCGGCCCGCAGAGAACAATATCTCGCGCGACCAAGAAGTCCCCCTGAGCAAACAAGAAGATCGGCCGCAGCCTTTTGCCTGCGGGTAAAAACCGATTCCGTGGACGATCACG